ATGAAGCGCCTTGAGGCGACATTTGTTGTGATTTGGCGCTATATAAATAAAATTGAATTGAATTGAATTGAATTGAATAAAATCTGATGGGAGGCACAGATTGTCATGGTCCCTGTGTCTGCCCTGCCGGACCGCAAGGCTACATGTGTTTTTGTTTTTGCTCTCTCTCTCTCCTTGGCCGCTCCGCCTGGGCGGAGCTCATTGCGGGCTCCCGCCCTTGTTCCACACACCTGTTTGCTATTATGTTGCCATTACGTGTTGCCATTTATGGCCGGGACACAGACCTTCTCGTCGCTGGATGATTGTGCAAGACGCGTTAGTGATCCTTTCTAGCTTTTGTGAACATAGCTTGTGTAAAATCCGTGACTTTGTGTAATCCGCCTTTCCTGTGTGACAGTTTTCCCTGGAGTGTGTGTGTGTGTGTGCACGCTGTATAACACATGACCTACCAAAAAACAACAAAAAAAAAATTCCCTAATGCCATGAGTTTTTTCAATAAATAAATAATTAAGGGATGAAGGAAGAGAGAGGTGCTTTTAGATATTTTCCAGCAATATTTTCTGTTTTTTTGGAATAAAGATCTGGTACTATAACTTTATGAATATGGACTCTCAGGAGTGTAGCTCAAGTTAACACAAAATTACAGATGCTCGAAGTCTCTAAAATATTTGGATGTCTGTAGAAACCAAACTTTCACAGGTAGGGGACAGATTTTTAGTTTACAGCTTTGCATATTCAAGGCATGCAATATTCTTTAAAACAGTGCCAATCAGATGAATGGATTCACAGGTATAAAGACACACAGACTCATTTTTCTAGTATGAAACTGTTATTATTTGTTTATTTAAGAAAACCAGTCATAAGAGCTGTAAGCAAATCTGTGATGGCCAGGTGGGACTTTTCTTTTAAATTTTATGATTTGAGATGAAGCTTGTTTCCACCACTGTGAAAAAGCAGAACTTAATCAAAATCTTGAGCTATTATGTTGAAATGTGACTGAATAACTCAAAATTTCAAGTTATTTTTTCAGAAGTTAGAGTTACTACATTAAAACTTTGAGATAAAAAAAAGACTTCATTACAAAAGCTGTTTTTTTTTGTTTTTAAGAAAATAGTAGATCATTTTAAATATAAATTATTTAAGTGTATTGTTGTGTGTTTTTTTTTTTTTTTTTTTTTGGGGCAAAACTGACCAATGACTCTGTTTACTCTAAGGGCTCACAAGCTCAAAAAAAGTTTGGAAACATTTTCATTTCAAAAAATTTCAAAAATATTTCACCTGAAATGAAGCGAAGCAAAAGTGCAGAGCTGCATTTAATTTAAAGAAGGTCACCTGCAGGCTGATGTTGGTCTGTGGTGAGAGGAGACTGGAGGGCAGCTGCAGGTACGACTCGCGGTTGACAAAGTTGACACTGGCGAGAGTCTCACAGCGCTCGCCCTCGTAGCCGTGGAGACACTGGCAGCGGGGGTCTGATCCCACAATGACGCACTGTGCCCCGTTGAGGCACTCGTGGTTGTCACAGGGGCTGGTGCGAGGAAGGACCATCGGAGGAGAGAACTCGCAGAATAACCCACTGAAACGCACATTGTAACACACGTGGAATACCGTAAGAGTCCAGATCATTCCCTTTATTTGTTCCTTTTATAATTATTATCAGTTTGTGGTACGGCTGCTAGAACATACAAGCTTAAAAACATACTTTTTTGGTGCTTTCAGTTACAGTTGGATTTTTCATCATTTCACATGTGAAAGTTAGATAAATCCAGAAAATACCACACTGTACTATTACTCCAGGGACCTTGAGAAAAATAGTATGTTGATCTCAATAACTGACAATACACACCAGGGGGAGCTCCTCATATATCAAAAACTGTTGGCATGCGTGACTTCCACTGTGGTGCGCAGCTCACCTGTACCCTTCTGGACAGATGCAGGTGTATCCATTGACGGCATCGATGCACTGACCGCCATTCTGACACTTATTCTCTTCACAGTCGTCATAATCCAGCTCACAGTGCTCGCCGATGTAGCCTGGAATGCACTCACACCTAAAATGAACACACACACACACACACACACACACAGAAATGCTTGTTGTTACTGGACTCGCAGGGATACAGCTGTTCTTTGTGGCTGCCTGTGGTTAGATTTGCTCTAATTGCATGTGGAAGATTTCCTTAACAATAAAAAGAAAACATGTCAATTGCTTCTTGACTCAGACAGTCAACAAATCCTAGAGAACACAAACTAATCTAATTTTTACATGATGTCAAACTGCCTCATGAAGAGCACTTCCAGACGTAATTACACTGACCACAGCGCACACAAGCAAGGGAGCAAGGGAGCAAAAGTACAGATAAAATCTCGCCAGGAAACCTTACTAGGGAGCCAAAATCACATTCCCAACACCTCCCATCCACACATGCAAACACACACAGACACACACCATTTCTCTGCTGGGAAAAATCTGGAACTCAATTATTTCTGTGTGAAAAATCTAAGTCTTCAAATCCTGCGGGAGAGAAACAAGAAGCACTACTTGCATACTCTAATATCTGCATATTAGTTTATACAGGAGTGTGTGTGCGTGCGTGCGTGTGCGTGTTTCCAGTGTACTCACTTGTACCCCTGAGGAATCAAAATGCACTTTGAGTCGTGCTGACATGGGTTCAGCTCTGGGGCACAGAAGTCCAGTTTCTCTTCACACAGCTCCCCTAGAAACACACACACACACACATACACACACACACACACACACACACACACACACACACACACACACACACACATCACTTTTTCAATTCTTTGCACAGCATTAACAATAAAGTGAAATGAAAACATAAAACATCAATATTTTAACTTTGTTGTGGTTTGTTTTTTTCTTTGTGTGTGTGTGTTGGTCTCATGATGGATGACTCTCTTGTGGCCAGAATCAACACAGTGGTCCGATAAATGATTTCAGTGCTGGGAATCTTGATGCTCCAGAGAGTATCCTGATCTTCCTGAAACTCTGAACTCCAAATGAATCACTGATGAGGGAATAAACCAGTTTCCTTGACTCCTGAAGTCCACGCTGGGAATAATTACACAACCCTCTAGGGATTAACAAGTATAAGCGTGAAACAGCCGGAGATGTTTGTGCTTTTAAGCCCTTCATTTAGACAGTAATTTCTTTCGCTCACGGACTTAAAAGCAGTCAGACTTGCTTAATGCATATAAAATGTTGTTTTTAATAATTCACATTTCAGTAATAATAGTTATTCATCTGATACATGTTTTTGGTGCAACCACTCAGTTTACCTACTGTCTGAAATATGTAAATTTAGCTCCTCTCAATTTAAGGCCAGCCTCCTTTTAAGCCTGCTGATTGGCTGACCATCCCAAACAGCAGGTGGGTGGGGATTCTGCACTCAAAGACAGGGTTGTCTGACTGAGATGATCATATTAGGATTTTCTCTTCCCCTTCCCAAACAGTTTGGTATGACAGAAAAGCATAACGGCTTTAAAAGAAAAGCTGTCATTAAGAGAGCAGTTAAAAGACTGTGAGTACTTGCTTGTTTACTTTGATGGCTTCTTATTTCCATGTGAGTTTTTGTCACAATATCATGATCTAAATCTGATAAATATTGCTCTACTCCCCCACATGACTTTTTTAGGATGTGAAATGAGCTCCAGAGAAGCCTCAAAGGTGCTGTCATATGTGTAGAAATGAGCCTTGTAGAGCCAAACATTACTCAGTGTCTAAATACTCACCACGTTTTATTTCAGGCAATTTAAACATTTAGAGCTGTATAAACTGTTTGTTTTTTGTTCACATTAAGAAAGCTGCAAAGAAAATAATAGAGCAGATGGTGCAGTGGCAGTATAACATAGTTTTATGTGTTAAAATATATATTTCATACACCAGAGGACCAGTTTGTTTAATTTTTAGAAATCACTAGACTGTGGTTGAAATGCATGCAAACCATAAGCCTGAAAGGAAGTTTTTAGTTCCTTAAAAAGGAACTTTGGGTGGTTAATGTACAGTACAATACTGTGCAAAAGTCTTGAGTCACCCATCATTTCTTCACATTTTGCTTCCAGCAGCCAGAGTTTCTGAAGCCAGAAGTAATTTTTGTTTTTAAAGTGTTTTTAATTCTCCGGGCTTTCTAAAATCATCCTTTGGACGCTGTCTACTTTTTCACTTGTTTTCATTCAGAAATGTTTTTGTTTTTCAGTTTATTATACAATTTATACTGACCTCTGGATTATTCAAGCATAAAAAAGCACCTAACTCAAGTTACCTATGTGTGTTCTATCACACATAGGTAACTTAGCAAAGAACCAGTTTTAAACTTTATAGTGAGGCATTTGTTACTAACAGACAGTCACAAAACACACTAACATTATAGTCTACTAAAAATGCCAAAGGCGACACAGTCTGACAGGCATGAAAAGATGTAGGTCCACCAACATAAGCAAACCCAAATTTGAAATTTTTGGTTAGAATCTTTGTCAGTAGGTACAGAGGAGATCAGGAAAGAGGTACAACAGTCTGTATTCTAAGTTATGTTGGTTCCTGTTTTAATAAATCTCTGCACCTTTCTCTTGTTTTATATAAATATAAAGAAATGAGTGGTAGCCCAGGACTTTTACATACCACTTTAGATATTTACGTTTCAGAAAGCAGACTGGCTTATTGTCCCAGACTTTCATTCCTAGGTGTGGAACATTAAAATGACCTTTATTAAAAAGATAAGATGTAACTCAGTATGTTTTTGTTATGGTCCAAAAAAGACTCAAACAAACTCGAATGGCTCTTAATATAACTCCTTCAATACCAAAAGCCTCCATTGTCCAACCAAATAGCTTTAAATCATTAAACACGCACATTTGAGTCTATTTCAGTCTATCGTACAATCAAACGAATACTCACAGGACCCCCAAATGTTCCGCTGAAAATAGTCGGCACCAAATGCACCATTTAAGTAAATCTGGATAATAAGTACAATGTGTGACTGTTTAGAAAATTAGCCTTCTTTTAAAACTGAAAATATATATATTTTGATTGTTCTGGAGGAGTGAATGGAATAAATGCAGACTAGATGTTAGTAAGTTTGGGTATTTTAATGGGATTTCTACTTTCAAAAATATAGATTATTGCCAGTTCCTCTAATTTCAGCTCATTCACCTGAAATGGTCATCACATGTATGCGTGAAGCAGCAAGCAGTATAACCACAGAAATCTGAGAGTGGTCTTTTTATACATCAAAGACATGCACTGCTAACACGGAGCACGACTGCATACAGTATGGTGAATCTGTAGCATTCCCGTGGATAAAGCACAGGAAATGAGGGAAGTTAGGAAGGAAGGAGAGAGGGACAGAAAGGACAGAGAGAAGAACAGACTAACCTCTCTCCACCTCATTGGTAGCAGCTGCAACCACAAAAAAGATGACAGATGATAGAAAGCAGAGCAAGATGGGAGAAAAGACACAGGACAGCAAAACACAGAAAGACAGAGAGAGAACACCGCCACATAAGTTAGCACTCAGAGATGATTAGCACAGTGCAAATGCAGACAAACAAGTAGCAACAGATCAGTGTTAGTCAGATAAAACATTTGTCTTTTGTGACTTCTCTGTAAGGATAGAAGACTTTTTGTGGGAGATATATTCATGCTGACTATTTCTGGAATAAAGAGTTTGTTTTCTATTTTCTAGACAGCTTCTATACGTCTACAGTTTGGATAATGTCAGTGTTAGTAAGGCAATAAAGGAGAGAAAAGAAACTTTCAGTTTGGTAAAAAAATCTAAAGTAAAGGTTTTTGATTGGATCAAGTTGCAGCCATAAAACTCAGGCAACCATTCCAATGAAAATAGGCCAAAAAAACCTTTCTGATTTAAATTTGGCTAATCTTTCCATCCAAGTCACCGAGGTCGCTCCATAATGTAGTGGACGACACATTTGCTGGGTCGGCAAAAGGTTGCTAGTTCCATTCCAGTCAGAGTGTAAAACTCTTCCAAATCAAACACACCCAGAGCCTTGTGAAAATGGAACAGCTGAAAGGTTGACATGGTGGTGTGGTGGTTACCACATTGCCTCACAACTCTGTGCAGAGTTAGCATGTTCTCCATGTCTGCCTGGGCTCTCTCCGAGTATTCTGGCTTGTCCCCACAGTCCAAAGACATGGACTGTGGGACGATTGGTGATTCTAGATTGCACATAGATGTGACTGGATGTCTGTCTTTATGTATTAGCTCTGGAGCTGAGTGTCAGCTGGTCCAGGGTGTACCCTGCCTCTTGCCCTCTGACAGCTGGGATAGGCTCCAGCCTTCTCGTGACCCTAAATTGGATAAGTGGCAGAAAATGAATGGGACTCTCTTCTTGTTCTAACCTGAGGACTTGTGTCCCTGCTGTACAGAGTGGATGTCATTGTAGTCTAAGGAGCTCGGAAAGAAAAGAGTCTGGACTTCACCTCTCATCCAAGAAGCTTCTTCAGTTCTAAGATCAACTGGTGGAGAGTCCGAGCCCGAGTGGGGGTGTTCCTAAGAGGGTCATGGACCCCCTATTGATCCTCTGCCTAATCACTCAAGCCAAGGTGTGAAAATGGGTGTGGGTCACAATCAGCCAAGGTTTCGGGTGAACTCATTGTGAGACCTTGCCCCAACCTGTTATGTGGCTTGCTGAGAACAAATGACCCAAGATGTGAGTGGATGTTAAGGTGTCTGGTAAGGGATCTCAAAACTGGATTGTCGATGGCAAACAATTGGTATCGTAAAATACCCCCTCTGTTCAAAGATGGATGAAAGGTGAAACGTCTTCAAGAAACTTAAAGAAGTCCAGACGCTTTTCTTTCCAAGCTCCTCAGACGTGTCCTCCAGTACTGGAAGTGTCTGGAGAAACTGTTTTCCCAGCACCACACTTCAGGTTGTTTATGCTTATGAAGTCTCCCCCAGAGGCCTTAAGATATAACAGCATAACTTCTCCCTGACAGTCACGTTGCACAACCTTCAGATGAAAACTGCTGCTTGGCAGGTGATTGTCCTCAGATTAAAATTTGGGTCAGTTTGACAAAGAAGTTGATGTTGATGCCTGTGCGGGTGCGTGGTCCATTGTGAACGCATAAAAGGGGGCAGCGTATTTTAAGCAGCCACTGATTTGCCTCATTTTGCAACTCTTGAAGGCAGGATTTTCAAAATTTAAGCCAGAAATGATTTTCACTCTTTACGGGCTGAGTGGCGTAACAGTTTGATTGACTCCCAAGGTGCACTTTGGTAAGAAATTTCAAGTCACTGAGCCACAAAATTCTGTTATTCATGCCTCTAAGCATAATATTGTATTGTACTTTGTTTTCAGATGCTCTAATTTGTTCCTCTGACACACCTCTTCTCTGTGGTAATGGTGGCCTGTCCCTATGGGTACTGCAGTATTTTAGTGGCCAACATCATGCAAAAAAAATAAGAACACAACACTGAAGTAACTAAAACTGATGGCTATGACACAAACCTACAGGATCCCTGCATTATCTGGGAGAGTCCTGTATTTCTGTGTTTAAATAAATAAATAAAATAGGAATACAGAACGGGGAAAACATGCCAGCCTCCAACATCTGCTCCTTCTTCGTTCGTGATTGTTACCTGTGTATTCTGGTGAGCACATGCATGTGTAGTTGTTGATTCCATCAACGCAGGTGGAGTTATTCTCACAGTCGTTATCTTCACAGTCGTCAATGTTGATCTCACACGCGTCACCTTCGAAGCCCTCCGGACACACACACCTGAGATCAAACACGGAAAGATGCAAGCGCTCATAAATAGGTGGATAAACACCTGTGGGGTCACATACACTACACATTAATGTAACTATTGATTCATCCTTATTAGATTAACAACAGACAGGATTTACAGAAGGGGAAATAGATTGTTCATCTATGATAAGATGAAGAGAGCCAATATTTGGTAAATTAGCCCGAAAATAAAACAAAATAAATTATTTTAGTAATTTTGTTGAAAAAAATAAAGGTTGCATTGGTGTGCTTAAACTTTCATTTTTTGTTAGCTTGCCAGGACAAAAAACTGTAGAAAAGAGTCAGAGATGAATAACTAATGATTCAATGCAAAGTGGTGTACAAAAACCTAGAGAGCTCAAACAGGTGAGTGAAGAAGAAACACTCAGTGCATCATCAGCATCCTAGGCCTATAAGGAAGGATTTGGGTTCACCTGATATAGCCCTAACTATAAGCTTTATCAAAAGGCAAAGTTTTAGGGTTAATCTTAGAAGTAGAGAGGATATCTGTCTCTCGAATCCAAAACTGGGAGCTGGTTCAACTATTTTTAAACACCCTTGAAACTACAAATAAGCCTGCAGCCTGAGAGTGAAGTGCTCTATTGAGGGTATATGGTACTATGAAGTCTTTAAGATAAGATGGGGCCTGAATGTGATGAGAAAGACTTTAAATTTGATTCTAGATTTAACAGGAAGTCAACGAAGAGATGCTAACATGGGAGGAATATGCTGTCATTCTAGTCCCTGTCAGTATTCATGCTGCAGCATTTGATCAACTATAACCAGAGACACAGAGGCAGCATTAGCACACAGCTGGGAGTTTCATCCCATGATTTTATTCAGAGCAGCCCCTCGTGGGTATATAAATACATTTTACATATAATTTAGGTCCCATCGCACACACTATCAAGCTTCATACACAGGCGTGTTCGGCTGTTCTCGCCAATACTCTCAGTGGCCTCAAACAGACACCAGGTAGGGATTTTCTGCCCAGTGTGGGGATGATTGTAAGCAGTTGATTACTACTGAATAATTGCCAATATATTCAGCAACTAATTTTGTGTGGGTGGACAATTTTATTGAGTAATCATTGCAGCTCTAATAGCAAACATTGCACGAATGTGGGGACCTGTGAATATCAGACATATTTAATATCCCTCCGTCCCCACCCCATCCCCTCACTGACACACACACAGACATACACAGACACACGCACATAAACAAACACACCTACACACACACTATCCATGCATGCTGCTCATAACGGCAGAGTCAGCTCCATCTACATATCCCCAGAAGAGAGTCATTATTCTGTTAACGTGAGCGTGCCTCAACTCTGTAACTACTACTCAGGTTTATTACAATACTCTCTCTATGACACACACATTTACACACACACACACACACACTGAGAGTGCTATATTATGGGTCTAATAAAGAGCTCTTATGCAGCACACACTCGGGTGGATTAATATCTCATTATATAGTCGGCGACAGCTCTTCACGATGAATATTCCACCCCCTGCGCTGGAGAGGGAAAAGAAATCATACACCGATGGAAATACGGACATAAATGGACAAGAAATGGCAGCAGAGGATACGGAGAGAGGGCAAAGAAATGGAGGACGACAAACGGGAGGAGCTGGGGTTTCTTAAATCATCTGCGTACGTTGTTAAGATCTGCTCGGAACGAGCAAGCAAACAGGCATTAGCTTCCCTACAGTTAACAGTAAATAGACTAATGAAGAAAGTTCTCACAGCGGGTCTGTCCACTTTGCTCTGGAGACACAAAAGAACCAGTCCCCTGAGCCATTCGCCTCCCGTAACTTCATCACCACCTCTAATTACTGG